TCAAACCCTCCGAATTACCTCGACTACAACAACTTTGGTGGCGCAAAGGAGCAGCATCAACAGCAGGCCTCACAGTCGCTCGTCAACGTCGACGTTTCCTAGATGGTGATGATGGTGATGGTGGTGGTGATTATTCCACCTTATCTCCCTCACCCTGACTGTGACCGCAAGTCGTTCGTCACCGTGAGCATCATCACCATTTATCACCGCCATCGCCGCCACCACTGAAGCCAGTGTCATCGCCGCTCTTCAGTGACTAATTGCACACATCACACGCTGATCATCTCATATGTATCTTGTATAGCGGATCTCACTCTTCGCTTCAAAGCTCCACCTAGCTATAGATTGTAGTGTACAGCAGCAGTAGTAGTAGTGGTACACCGATCTCAATCTCAACCTCAATCAGCGACTTTCTCCTTTTTCCAATTTTCCCAAAGATAGGAAAAGGAGGCTATCAAGAAACAATCAGTCAGTCAGTCTTGGACGCACTTTTTACATTTTGTCGCAGCACATCTCCTTAACACGTATAATCAATTTAATTAAGAGTCACTTTTTGTTGCAAAAAAACAGAAGAGGAAGAAGAACAGGAGAAGGAAGACTTCCCACATTGCTTTGGCACAACTGTTTTTTGTTAACTAGTGTCAGACGCTGGGCGCCCAGCTTGTTCGAAATACTCTGTTTGCACCTTGTCACACACACACAGGCACACAGTCACCATTGTGGCCGAGTGGCCTTGCTTTGCTTTGGAGGAAGACGACAGCCAAAGTGGAAAGGACCATCAAGCATCCCCCACCACCACCACCTTCACTAGTAGCCGGCAATCGTGAGCAAAAGAGCTGTCCATTGAGCGAGTGGACAGACGTCTGGAGCACGTGGCAACTGTGGTAGGTGCTGGCCACTGGCCTCTCTCTCTCTCTCTCTTCACCGTCTCCACTCAGTTTATCTCTTCAGGCGACAAGCACTGGCACAAGTGATAGATGATGGTCTTCTTCACGTTCACGTTTTATTGTTCGAGTTGACCAGCACGACCGCCTGTTGCACACCACTGCACTTCACTGTACTCCCTCGCCACCGAATCTCCCTTTTAGCCGACCTTCAACTTTGCAAGTTAGTTAGCTTGCTAGTTGATGCCAATTATTATTAGCATTGTCCTGACTGTGCACAGGCACAGGTACAACAACAGGCAAACAATGTAATAAACTTGTGTAAGATAAATAAAAAATGTACTAGCCGAAGCCGCTGAGCACACAAAACAGAATAGACAAACAACAAGAAAAATTTTGTTTAACGATAGAGAAAAAGAAAGTGTTTTTTAGTCAGCAAATCTTTTTCGTCTTCTTTTTCTAATTCACCGCGTGTAGATCGGTATCTGAAACAGACACACAGAGGATCCTCCTGCTTTAGCTATCATCTTAGGCCGTCAGCGGGGAAGCTGTCTCGTTGTGAGTGGCTGCAATTGCCTCTTTCTTTCCTTTTTGCATCTCATTGATTTTTAAAGCGGCAGCAAAAAAAGAAGCATAAGAAACAGCAGCAGCCATATTTCTTTGGTGCAACTAGTTCAGATGCAATGGTTCAGCAGCGGCTGCAGTCTGCAGCAGCAGCAGTCGAGTAAACCGGATCGGGAGTACTGTGTAGAAGGATGATGAGGATGAGGATGAGGTTGAAGATGAGGAGGACTGTTGAAGGTGAAGGCGATATAAAAAGGAAATAAGAAAAAGTAGTCGCACGTTTTCACTTTTTTTGCTGTTGCACTTTTTCTTTTTTTAAAGTTTGGCAGCTGTGGTGAAGAGCGGGAGAGTGATTTGTAATTTGTGAAGGCGCCAAATTTTTCTTTTTACTTCTTTGTTTGAATGCACCAGAAGATGCGTGCTGTATCCATCTTTCTGGTAGTAGTGGTAGTGGTAGGTGTGGCCTCCGTTTGCTGGGCCTCAGTGACCAACTTCAACAACAACAACCAGCATTTCGGCCACTTCTTTACCACCAACCATGGCGTCAGCATTCGAGTTGATCCATTTGCGCAGTTTACCAACTCTGGTGAGTTAAACTCAAGTCAATCATATCTAATTTCTCCCTCCTTCTTTAGGCTCTCGACAGTCTCGAAGCAGCCGTGCTTTTAGCAGCAGCAGCAACAACAACGGCAACATCAACTTCAGCCACTTCAACACCGCCTTTCACAATCGCAACCCCTTTGCGACCAACCAGCAGCAGCAGCAGCAGTTCAGTCGAGTGGTGGCCACCACTAGCCCAACCCTGACCGGCTCATCGGGCCCTCGAACCACCTTCAGCACTCGGTACAATGCCTTCCAGCGCCAGTGCGCCCAGGGCACCAGCTGCACCTGGTACCACAGCTGTCCGAGCAGTGGCGGCGGCGTGAATGGCAGCGTACGGCGAAATGCAAGGCCGAATCACTTCTGCATGCTCGACAATGGCTTCACGGGAGTGTGCTGTGAGGGAGGCGAACAGCAGCCACAACAACAACAGCAAAGACGATCCGGTCAGCGGCAGTCGAACAGTTTTGCCTTTGTCCAGCCAACCAGTGCCAACAACTTTCAGACGGTTCGCAGGACCACTTCTTCAGCTAGCACCGGCGGTCCGGTGACGATTCGCTTTGAGGTGAATGAGATCCGCCGTACGGTGAACGATCTGGAGCTGTTGGAGAATGAGCTTCACAATGCGCACATCATGCCGCAGAGGAACACAAAGGAGTTTGCCCACCAAAACTTCTTTGGCGGCGATGAGGTGACTCTGAAGGAGATGCAGGCCGCTTTCCAGGTGCTGCAGGCCTTTATTAACTTGTCTAAAAAGTAAGAGTAAAATTGCTATTAATGGTTTTCATTTGTGTTAACTCACTAACCTTTTTTTCAGAGAGAAACTCTCCCCTGAAGACATCATCAACAGCAACATTGATCTCCGCAATACGGCCTTTGCCAGCGTCTGCGGCCAACCGCCCACCTGTAATGCCAGCTCCCCGTACCGTCACCCTGACGGCACCTGCAACAATCTGATCAACGTTTCACAAGGAAAAGCTGTGAGCACCTTTGCCCGACTTCTGCCGCCCGAGTACGCCGACGGCATCAGCGAACCGAGAAAGGCCAAGGACGGCAGTGAGCTGCCCAATGCGAGACGAATTTCGCTTAGCATTTCTCCAGAGTCAAACATTGAGAACAATCGGTACTCGCTGATGCTGGCGCAGTTTGGACAGGTAAAATCAAGTCAAGCAATTTTTTCGGTTACCAGTTTCCAGATAATTGTTGTTTTATTTAACCCAATCGCCACTAGTTTATGGATCACGACATCACCCGGACGGGCACAACCAAAAGTGAGTTGAACTTGACTTGACACAACTACATTTTTGCAACTAACAAAAAAATTGCTTTTAGCTCACAACGACGAACAGATCAGCTGTTGTAGTGAGCAAGTGCTTCGAAATGCTCGCCTTTTGCATCCTGCCTGCTTTCCCATTGTCGTCCCGCCTGAAGACGCTTTCCTGCGCGCCGAGTCGCAGCAGTGCATCAACTTTGTTCGCTCTGCGCCGGCCATCAATCCAAAGTGCCGCTTTGGACCGAGAGAGCAGCTGAACCAGCTTAGCTCGTAAGTTGCGCTTATAAATAAAAACTGAGCTTTTGTATCTAAAAGTGCGCTTTTTTAGGTACATCGACGGCACCAACATCTACGGCGCAAACGACGCCGAGGCTCGCGAGCTGCGCGCCTTCTCCGGCGGCCGCCTCAAGGTGTCCACCGTCAACTCTGAGGAGTTCCTGCCCATGAAGCCGGCCAATGACACCAACTGCCAGCTGCCCAAAGGAGGCGGCGGCGGCTTGCCGCAGATGCGCTGCTTCGCCGGCGGCGACAATCGCGTCAACGAGGTGGTCGACCTGGCGGTGCTGCACAACGCCTGGATGCGCGAGCACAACCGCATCGCCGGAGAGCTCTCCCAGCTGAATACCCACTGGAGCGACGCCACCCTCTACGAGGAGACAAAGCGCATCGTCGTCGCCCAGCTGCAGCACATCCTCTACGACCAGTTTCTGCCGCTCATTCTCGGTCCGCGAGCCTTTGCCCATTTCAGCCTGGGACTGAGCGGCGGTGGCTTCAGCAACCGCTACAATCCCATCATCGACGTGACGGTGCTCAATGAGTTCTCCACGGCCGCCTACCGCCTGCACTCGCTGGTGCAGGGCATGCTGCACCTGAACTCGGCGGACAATCAGGTGCTGGCGAGGGTGCCCCTGCACGAGCAGTTCAACAATCCGCGCATTCTCTACCACCAGGGCGGCTATGAGATGCGCATTGCCGGACTCACCGGACAGCCCATTCAGCGATGTAAGTTGTGTAGCGAAAAAAAGGGGGAGGTTTAATAATTCTTTACTATTTCTAATACAAAAACCTCCTCAGTTGACAACTTCTTCAGTCGCGAGATCACCAACCACCTCTTTCAGATACCGGGCAAGCGCTTCGGCCTCGACCTGGTGGCGCTGAACATTCAACGTGGTCGCGACCACGGCCTTCCCGGCTACGTCAAGTATCGCGAGATATGCGGCCTCTCGCGGGTCAACTCTTTTGACGACCTGAAGCGGATCTTCTCCAACGGCCAGGTGGCCGATGTCATGGCGCAACTTTATCGCCACGTCGAGGACATTGACCTCTTCATTGCGGGCAGCAGTGAGAAGGTGTTGCCCGGAGCGGTGGTCGGGCCCACCTTTGCCTGTATCATTGGCGAGCAGTTTAGGCGATTTAAAGAGGGTAAATGAGTAAAAATAGAGAAGTGTTGGTTTGATTTGTTTTAAATTTTGTTTTGGTATCACTCCAGGTGATCGTTTCTGGTACGAGAACGGCCCCAACGAGGTAGGCTCATTCACGGCGGCTCAGCTGGCTGAGCTGAAGAAGGCCACCCTGTCACGGGTGCTCTGTGACAACAGTCGCATTGAGATCATGCAGAGGAATGCCTTCCTCATGCCTAGTTCAAAGTAAGCAAACAAAAGCAAAAGCAGTCCACTAGTTTCTAATCGGTTCACCATCTTTCTCCAATCAGTAACCCCAAAGTGTCATGTCTAAGCAACCACATACCTCGAATCGATCTGAGAGCCTGGACTGAAGCATAAAGCAAATTTCGTTTTCAGTTTTTTTCTTGTTTCCGCTGTAAGCAAAGCGGTTAAAAATGCTGACGTGTTTGAAAACTTACTAGAAAATGCTGTCCAACTGGTAAAAAATAAACCTCCGTTCAACTGTTTTACCACATTCTGCTGCACTATTGTGCGTAGGTTTATTGCTTTTGTTACACATTTTAGTTTCCTTTCAGTCCTCTACGCTGACATCAGTGAAGAGGTAGCTGAGACTCTCCTGATTGTGCAGCCGTCTGATGGCCTCCGTGAGGAGGACGCCAATGTCAATGCTGACCAGCTTCTCCAGCTTGTACTCGATGGGCACGGTATTCGTCACCACAATCTGGTCCACTGCAGAGGCGTTCAGCTCGGCGGCTCGCTCTTCGGAAAGTAGGGCATGCGTCGCCAGGAGGAAGACCTTCTCTGCGCCCTGCTCCTTGAGGAAGCGAGCCGCGGCGGTGAAGCAGTCCACGTCGTCGATGATGTCCTCCACCATGATGGCGATCTTGCCGCCCACCTCGCCCACCAGGTTCATCGGCGTGCTGCGGAAGGCCTCGTGGTCGGTGAACATGGGCAGCGTCTGGCCGCCGCCGGGGAAGAACTCGATGGAGCGAATGGGCGGCGGTGAGCTGCGCCCGTCCACCTCGTCGGTGTCCACCTCGACGGAGCCGTGCAGGACGGCGATGTCCGCTCGAAGGCGCTGCGCATAGGCGGTGGCCTTCTTCATGGAGGAGGTGTGCCGAGCGACGACCACCAACTTGGAGCGGTCCACCTTGCACTCGAACATCATCTGCTGAATGTGCGAGATGAGGAAGGGAGAGGCGCGCAGGTTCTCCACCGGAATGTCAAAGAAGCCTTGAATCTGCAGTTAGAAAAGATTTTGAGTGATTTGTTTGTACAAAACCTCTCTATTACCTCTTTGTGGTGCAGGTCAACGGTGACAATGTGCGTGTAGCCTGCCTCGCTGATCAGCTTGGCGAGCAGCCTGGAGGGAATGGCGCCCCTCTTTCGCTGCTTGGTCTGCTTTCCATAGGGCAAGTAGGGCAGAATGCCAACGATGTTCTTTGCCGCCGACGTCTTGCAAGTGTAGCCCATCAGCAGCATCTCCACGATGCTGTCATTGACGTTGGTGTGGGTGGCCGTCTGGATGATGTAAACATCGCGCGAGCGAACGGAATCAGGAATGGTGATCAGCGTTTCGCGGTTGGCCGCCCGGAAGATGGTGATGTCAGCTTTCTTCAGGCCAAGCGTCGAGCAGATGGTGTCGGCCAGCTGAGGATGGGTGTTCCCGGAGAGGACGACGATTTCATTGGAAGGAGGCGCCATTATAGAGAGGAGACTAGAGAGGAGGAGGACAGATTGAACACTCCAAAACACTGGGCAGAAAATGGTTTCTTTTAAAAACTTGGAGGAGCCCTCAAGAAACTAGTTTTGTTAGGAAAAGTCGGCATCGAGGAAGACTGGAGAAATAGTGCAGCATGATGTACTTTCACTGTTCGAGGTGACTCGAGGCACATAGAGCTCAGTGATAGCATATGGGTGAAGTACAATCAGCTAATGGTTCGCTGGTATGATCAGCAAACATTGCCGCGACAAGATATCTTTAGAAGAGAGTGTAAGTGAAACAACAGAGAAATCTCCTCAGTGCTTATCACCATTGAATTGAATGAATGCATCGACTGTAGTGGACAGTGCAAAATACATATCTGATGGTGCGATTTGTGATTTTCAGTTTGACACCAAACGGCGATTACAGGGCTTTTACGCAAGTGAAGTGTACTATCGGGGTTAGTTTTTTGTATTTGGCTGTTCCAGTTTAAAGCTTGAATTTTAATTTTGCACTGCTTGCTTCGGATACAATGGACAATTTCTATTTAAAGTATTTTTACAATTTTGTAAAACAAGCATTTCTAGTAAAAACAAATAGCACATTCTTTTCTCTCTTTTGTTTACACAGCAGTCGATTCTTATCACTGTATACACTGGCATTTATGTGATTTTTTCTTTGCTTCAAAAATCGTTGAATTTCTAGTCGCAAAAAAGAGAGGGGCTTCACTTGACAGTCTGAACGAGTACTTCTACATCTTGTATCGATACTGTCATAGAAACTCCAATCTTATCACAGCAGTCAGATCGAGTTTTGCTATGCGAAACGCACACCAGACTTCTCTGAAGACTCTCTCCTCTGCTGCTGCTGCTTCTTCTTCTTCTTAGACAATCTTTCACCACTTGACAGATATCGTCTGGTAAACAAGTGAGGGTAAAAGAGAGGGAGAGAACAAACTCACATTGCATCTTTGTGACAGCTGCAATGCCTACCACCAGCAGCACCACCACCACCAGAAAAGCATTGCCTGAACGACCACCATCTTGACCATCCTCTCAGCATCATGGTGCATCATCCCATTGTATCATCTGTTTCTACTAGACCACTCAGCAAACCTAGTTTAAATTGGTTACCCTAATTTTGCAGGCCAGAAAAAAGAATGTGAGAAGTGCAAAACCATAAAAGACTTACTCGCACTGCGACAGCGACATGCCTCCATCTTCCTCTCTTCTTCTNTCTCTCAGCATCCTAGTGCATCATCCCATTGCATCATCTGTTCCCACTAGACCACTCAGCAAACCTAGTTTGAATTGGTTACCCCATTTTGGCAGGCCAGAAAAAAAATGTGAGAAGTGCAAAACCATAAAAGACTTACTCGCACTGCGACAGCGACATGCCTCCATCTTCCTCTCTTCTTCTTGTTGTTAACACTCTGTCCAGGTTCAATACGATTAGAGGCAGATCAAATGGCGATTTGCCTGCATTAGTAGGCAAATAGACACAGACACTGAGAGAGACACAGGCTAAAGTAGTGTGTGTGTGCAGGCGACAACGACAACGATCGGCGAGCAAGTGCCGCGGCAGACAATCGTCACCCCTGGTTACTATCCGCCACCAGTCCACCGTCGGACCACAGACTGCAGCTTGAGACTCTCATCACAACCTGCTGCTTCTCCCATTCTCCCTCTTCTTCACTGGCAGCAGTTCAACAGTTTTTTTGGTTGGCTGGCCCAAAAACCGGTGAGAAGATCAAGTGAGGAAGAAAAACGTGGCCAGCGCCTGCTGCTGCTCTTCATTGTCTCCTCTGGCAGTCGTTTAAGTGAGTTGTGAGTGACTTTTTACTGTGCCAAAATTACCGCAAAAATGGAAAACTCCACTGCTGCGCTGAGGAATGAAACACTCTCCTCATTTTCTCCTGTTGGTGATGCCTTCACCGAGTTGACCACTACCACTACCACCATTGCAAACTACAGCGGCAACTCTTCAGTGACAGAGAATATTCTCAGACTGTATAATGCGTCCAACATAACATTTTCCTCGTCAAACTCTTCGTCGGAATATTCTGGCTTTTCCAATGATTCTATGGTGCTGTCGGCTGGACCTGAGCTGGCCACTGCCGAGCATTCCAAGGGCGCCTTTTACGCCTGGGTCGGTCTTGGAATTCTTCTCGTCGGCATTGTCTTCATTCTTGGATTCGTTTTCGTTTTCGATAAATTCCTGAGAAAGAAATTTTTCAACCGCTCAAATGACCCCGAGTCAGATCGATCAAAGGCTGAACAGACTGACGGCGGAAAGAAGCCAACTGATCTGGTCATTGGTGAGCCCAATCTGCCAACAGAAGAGACGGCGGCAAAGAAGGACGACGCCGCCAGCTCCGAAGCAGCGGTCAATGGCTCAAGTGAAAGTCTAGCCAAACGAAAGAGACAGGAGAAAGTTGATGAAACAAACGTAGTAGAACTTAAACCACTTTAACTCCTCTTTCCTTTCTTTGCCCATTGTACAATTTAGACAGTCTTTAGGCGCATTTATCTTTAACCAAAAAATAACTTTCTACTAATATGTGTATTTTCAAATTTTTGCATTTTTATTTTGAGCAGTATAAAAAATAAAAAAAATCATCATGTTTTGTTCAAAACAAAAAAACATTATCTACAATAAAATCACCTTTTTCATAGCTCAAGCAGCCAGAACAATGTTGTTGAGCAGTGGCACCTTTTTATCCGAGATCGGTATTGCATCGTACCACTTCATTGAATTGTTGTACCAAATTTCATAGTTCTCCGGCCAGACTCTGTCATTGGTGACCGAGCCTCGCATGGCACCACAGACGAGGTCCATCGAGTGGCCGGGTGCGTGCTTCTTGATGAAGTCGTTGACTTTCTTGAAGCTGAACTGCTGACTGATGGCCGCGCCGTTGCTGTCGGCGCAATAGCAGGCCCGGTCGCCGATGCACTGCAGTGCACTGAAGTCACCGGAGCCATCGCACTTCAGCACATCAAATGCCTGTCGCTCCACCTTCACAAAGTACTCCTCCAGGGCACAGCGACAGTCCACTGACTGGGCGTTCACTAGGGGCGTCGAGTAGGAGCCAATTGAATGGCCCTTTGGATTAGAGCACAGACAGGCGTCTGAATAAAATAGTCTGCTTGTCAGTATTTACGCGCACAGAGTCAGCAAGTGTTAGTTGCACTTACCCGGCACACACTGCTTTCGTTTGAACTTGTCATCGTATCCGCAGCTTTTCGCCTCCAACCCTTTCACATTTGACCCTTTCAGGGTGAAATGCCTTTGCATGGTCATCGGAATGTGAATTAGTCTCTGGCACTCCTCAGCGTACACCTCATTGGAGAAATTAGACTTCACTTCTTTAGCTCGCTTATAGTCAACTAGAAAAGAAAAATATAAAGCTAAATATTTGGCGCATCCGCAAATGTCCGCTTGCAACTCACAGCAAACCAGTGGCCTGAAAGCGCCAAAAATGGTGGTAGCACTGGAGTTCACCTCATTTGTGGGCACTCTTGGTCCCCTCTTCTTTTTCTCCT